CCCTGCAGGAGGCTCCAGTAGCCAGAGGGGCCAGACAACTGCTGGGGAGACACCAGCACCTTAGTCTGAACAGGGAACCCTCATTTTCTTTTTTTTTTTAATTTTTAATTTTATTTTTTTATATTTATTTATTTATTTTTATTGAATGGTAGCTATGTACATTAATGCACTTCTGGGGTACAGTGTGGTGTTTTCACACACAATCTGAAACACTTCCATCAAACTGGTTAACATAGCCTTCATGTCATTTTCTTAGTTATTGTGTTAAAATGTTCATATTCTACTCTTAGATTCACTTGTACCCTTATAAGATAAACCACAGAAATGATCCCCCCAATCCTCCTCCCTCCACCCATTCCCCCTTCCCTCTCCCTCCCCCCTCCCCATATTCTTAGGCTGTTATTAGGTTATAGGTTTCATATAAAAGGTATAAATTAATTTCATAAGGAACCCTCATTTTCTAGGCCTGATCAATTTCATGTAAGTTTCCTAGGCCCCGGAATGAAAGGGATTATAGCCCTTCATTTGGGACCTAGACACAACCCAGACATCTCCCAGACAAGATGTCCTAGACAAGCTAAATGTAACTAATGTAACTACCAAGGGCCAGACATGTCCCAGACATGATGTCCCAGACATGCTAAATGTAACTACCAAGACCAGCTAAATGTAACTACCCAGGGCCCCACATAACTATATATACCCCTAGACAAAGAGCCAGAGACAGACAGAGAGAGAGCTTTTCTCTCCCAACTTGGGTTTTCTCTCTCTGCCAGGAGCTCTGACCCTTCTGTATTCTTTTCTGTGAATAAATCCTGTCTTACCACTGATCTGTGGTCCGCGGTATCGTTCTTCGAATCACTGAGACCAAGAACCTACTGAAGAGCGAAATTCTGGTATCACCACAATGCCCAGCTATTTTTAGAAACAGGGTCTTGCTCTGGCTTAGGCTGGTCTCAAACTTCTGGGCTCAGGCATTTCACCCACCTATACCTCTCAGAGTGCTAGGATTACAGGGGTGAGCCACCAAACCCGGGCCCTTGAATTTTCTTTCTTGAGATGATGTCTACACATGGTTATTATGAGGTTCTGGCATAGATTGCGGGGCGAGGGGGGTTCAAGAAAGGACAGGAGGCCAGTCGAGGGAGAAGAAAAGAATTTAATAGAGGTGAAAAGGAAAATGGAGACTGACTAGGTGCCAGCACAGCTCCCACACAGTTGCAAAAGGCTTTTTACTAGCCTCACCAGTATAGTTGGAAAAGGGCAGTGATCGCAGAGTATTGCCTGGGGCTCTGTCTTCTATAGTTCAGGTCAGGATCAAGGATTATGGGCCAGGATTTTGGTAGGATGCTTCCAGGAACTCTGATCTTGAGGCACTCCTAGGGTCTGGAGAGAGTTTGACTGTTTTCTGACCTGATTTTCTTTTTTTTTTTTTT